TAACCAGTAGATAATTCAGTCAGCCTTGTAACCAGTAGATAATTCAGTCAGCCTTGTAACCAGTAGATAATTCAGTCAGCCTCATTTTTCCAGTAGATAATTCAGTCAGCCTCATTTCCAATAGATAATTCAGTCAGCCTGGTAACCAATAGATAATTCAGTCAGCCTTGTAACCAGTAGATAATTTAGTCAGCCTTATAACCAGTAGATAATTCAGTCAGTCTTGTAACCAGTAGATAATTCAGTCAGCCTTGTAACCAGTAGATAATTCAGTCAGCCTTATAACCAGTAGATAATTCAGTCAGCCTTATAACCAGTAGATAATCTAGCCTACTTCATTCTTTGTAGATAATCCAGCCACCTTCATTCCTAGTAAATAATCTAGCCACCTTCATTCTTTGTAGATAGTCTAGCCTACTTCATTCTTTGTAGATAATCCAGCCACCTTCATTCCCAGTAGATAATCCTGCCACCTTCATTCCCAGTAGATAAACTAGCATCCTTCATTCCTAGTAGATAATATAACACTCATTCCTAGTAGATAATCTAGCCACATCCATTTCCAGTAGATAATCCAGCCACCTTCATTCCTAGTAGATAATCCAGCCACCTTCATTCCCAGTAGATAATCTAGCATCCTTCATTCCTAGTAGATAATATAACACTCATTCCTAGTAGATAATCTAGCCACATCCATTTCCAGTAGATAATCCAGCCACCTTCATTCCTAGTAGATAATCCAGCCACCTTCATTCCCAGTAGATAATCTAGCATCCTTCATTCCTAGTAGATAATATAACACTCATTCCTAGTAGATAATCTAGCCACATCCATTTCCAGTAGATAATCCAGCCACCTTCATTCCTAGTAGATAATCCAGCCACCTTCATTCCTAGTAGATAAAACAGCCACCTTCATTCCCAGAAGATAATCGAGCCACCTCTTTTTCCTGTAGATAAAACAGCCACCTACATTCCCAGTAGATAATCGAGCCACCTTCATTCCCAGTAGATAATCCAGCAACCTTCATTCTCAGTAGATAATCCAGCCACCTCTATTCCCTGTAGATAAAACAGCCACCTTCATTCCCCGTAGATAATCCAGCCACCTTCATTCCCCGTAGATAATCCAGCCTCCTTCATTCTCAGTAGATAATCCAGCTTACTTTATGCCCAGTTGATAATCCAGCCACCTTTATTCCTTCTAGATAATTATGAAATATAATTTGGCCACCTTTATTCCCAGTAGATAATCCAGCCACCTTTATTCCTTGTAGATAATCCAGCCACCTTTATTCTTAGTAGATAATCCAGCCACCTTTATTCCTAGTAGATAATCCAGCCACCTTTATTCCTTGTAGATAATCCAGCCACCTTTATTCCTTGTTTATAATCCAGCCACTTTTATTCCTAGTAGATAATCCAGCCACCTTTATTCCCTGTAGATAATCCAGCCACCTTTATTCCTTGTAGATAATCCAGCTACCTTTATTCCTTCTAGATAATCCAGCCACCTTTATTCCTTGTAGATAACCAGCCACCTTTATTCCCAGTAGATAATACAGCCACCTTCATTCCCAGTAGATAATGCAGCCACCTTCATTCCCAGTAGATAATCCAGCCACCTTCATTCCCAGTAGATAAAACAGCCACCTTCATTCCCAGTAGATAATCCAGCCACCTTTATTCCCTGTAGATAATCCAGCCACCTTTATTCCCTGTAGATAATCCAGCCACCTTTATTCCCTGTAGATAATCCAGCCACCTTTATTCCCAGTAGATAATACAGCCGCCTTCATTCCCAGTAGATAATGCAGCCACCTTCATTCCCAGTAGATAATCCTGCCACCTTTATTCCTTCTAGATAATTATGAAATATAATCCAGCCACCTTTATTCCTTGTAGATAATCCAGCCACCTTTATTCCTAGCAATAATCCAACTACTTTCATCCCCTGCAGTAGCAGCTAGCTTGTGACATAACTATCAATACACCTTGTTCACAATTTTTTAAAAAAAGGCTGGCTATTTCCCAGAAACAATTGCTGGAAAATGGTACAGCCAGACTAGGCTGGATTAACAAGGCTGACTGATATCTAGATTACTTCTTGGCATATTTCTTGTTTTAAACTTAATTTGGATTGTCAGCTTACAGGACAGATGAAGACAAGCCATGGGTGTTACCTGTTGTACGGACTGTTGAGGCACAGATGGCGTGTGATGCCACTCTCAACCATGAGTACCTCCCTGTGGCAGGTTTGGCTGAATTCAGTAACAATTCAATAAAGCTACTTCTGGGTGAAGACAGCCCAGTCATCACACAGAACAGGGTAGGTACTAGTACATGTACAAGTAAAACTAGAAAAAAAATATTCTTATAAATGTCTAAATTTTATATCTTCTGAAATTTGTTTGACTCAATTTAATATTTATTTTGAATTTTGAACTTTCGTCATGTTTGGCTTTTATTTCTTACTATCGTCTAAATTGTTAATTAAAATATTTCATTTATGACTATTTCCCAGTTTCTGTAGGCACCCAGGCCTAAAAAGGCTTAGCAAGGTTATGTCATGGCACATTATCTGTTGTCCATGTTTCGGTCAATTCTTCTTTCTTACCACGTAATACACTGTATATCTGAACGGCTGTTCAGACTTCAGTCTAATTTTGTCTAAAGCCTCAATGGGACAAGTGGACCAACTGTTGTATAAATAAACACATGACAGGGTATCTGAGCAACGAAGTACCTTGGTAATAAATCAAAAGTCCACCCTATAGCCAAGTAACTGCTTGCTAGGCAACTATATATGCCATAAGGATTACAAACCCAACAGACAGGGTCCAGCCCAACCCCTGGATATCAAGTCACAGGGTCATAACCTAGGCCCTTAACCCTTTCACTGCTGTAGACCATAATGGACTCATCCATATCAATGCATGGTAGAGTCTACTAAAGTTACATAGAGGTGAAAGGGTTAATGAACTAACTCCCAGGGACCTACCCGTAACCATAAGCTGATCATATTATTTTTGAAGCGTCCTTGGTCCTGGAGACATAATTCAAATCAATTGCTGTGTAAAAATGAACTTGTATGTTCAAATCTGTTAAAGCCTACTCCTCCCAACAACGTGATCATATATCAACCAAAGTTGTTTTATGAAGCTTCGGAACAGAGAATCAAATGTTATATGAAGGAAGCATGTTGACCCTTTGGTGCCGAGATAAATCCATAGACTGGGAAAAAATTGCAATACTACATTCAATTTGCTGTTGATGGTATGCATTTTCAGATTTTCAATACAGTCCCTTTATATATACTTCATTTATTTTACAACCATTATTTCAACTTATATTAATCACTCTTGTTGGCCCGGATGTAAACGCATGGGGTTCTTCTTGTCGGAGAAAACCGGAGTACCCGGAGAAAACCGGAGTACCTGTAGTACCCAGAGAAAACCCATGTGGTCGGGCAGGTGACCCCATACTTTTTCACGTCCAATTGGGGAATCGAACCCTGTACAGCAAGTGCGCTATCCACTGCACCACCCGGCCACTCTACAGTCCCTTTGATGCCTTTTGTACAAAAATAAATCAAAGGAGGCAATCCAGGTTAAATGAGAAGTCAATGTATACTTCTGATTTCATCTAGATTGACCTAGCTACATGAATATATATACAAAAAATCTATGCCTAGAGGACGTATGGCCTCATTGACAGTATTAACAAAAAATGGTTTACTCATGCCAGCAGGCTATGACTTCTTTTAATAATAAATGTATAGATATAGAAAAAGAATGGAAGGACAAACCATACAGAACCTTCAGACCTCAAAATATATCTTATAAAGTCTTATTTTTTTCTGGTTAAAAATCCTTGCTTTGGTAGGATAAAGAGAAAATTATCATAATGACAATTTTAGGTCTTGAAAAGGTGAATCATAAAGGCTAAGTTCGTTTTGAACACAAACAGGAATTAAAAACTATTTTGCAAGCTTTTTGAAAACATCTGTTTCCCTTTATCAAGCAAAGAGTGTAAATGACCAGTGTCTCGTCTCTGAAACACTTAAAACAACTCTCAAAGCAAAAGTGTGCCGAAACGGTAAAGGTCATCTGTCAAAAAAAGCACTCTTATACTGTAGGCAGTCAGGGGATGGGTATGTTTACCCATTCAGACCCTTAGTGGTGAATCAGTTTCACATGAACTGATAGGGTTTTGATCAATAATTTCTCTTACTATCGCTAAAAGTTATCTATAAAATTGAGATAGTATCATTCAATGATCAATCTGAAAATGCTTCTGGCAAAGCGTATCAGTTTAATGACTTTTTTCTTTTTCGTCATCATAACAGGTTCTCGGCACACAGGCCGTAGGGGGGACTGGAGCCCTCAAACTGGCCGCAGAGTTTATGCACAGGCATCTGGGTGTCGACGTCGTCTACGTGTCCAAACCGACATGGGGTATATGTCATGTCTGGGGGAGTAACATCCCTTCAAAACAGTGCTGCAAATGTTAACAACTTGAATTACAGCAATGAAATTTCTAGAACAAACATTTCAATTTCTGCTCAAGTTGGACTAATCGATACCACGTAAATAGATCAATGAAACTGCCATGTTGTTAGGCCATGCAACTTATTAGATTGACATTGTATGTGCATGTGTATGAGTTTGTATCATTTTGCACCATCTAAATATAAATACAGCATCAGTTCATAGACAGCTGTTAGTGTTTATGTAATACCAGGCAAATAGAATATCAATAAATTGCAAGCATAAATTTATGATATGTTTTTGGATCATAAAAAAGTTTAATACAGAATGATATGATACATGTATGAGACGTATTATTTTTTTACATTACATCTCTTTATAGACTTGCACAAACTACATTATCTAGTTCCTAATGGTAGACTTACAAAATCGAAATTCCAGATGAATTATTTAAACAAGGGTAAATTGAAATAAAGAGATTGAATATTGCTTTCAAAGAGTACAAACTGTTCTGCTGTGTAAACAGTACCTAGGTTTTATTTTAAGGCATATTCTGACTAATCCTCTTCTGTGTATTCACAGTAACATATTTACATATGAACCAACACATTTTAAATTATAATTATTAGGTAATCACAGGGGGATCTTCAAAGATGCTGGTTTCTCACAGATAAGGGAATATCGCTACTGGAAAGCAGACACCAGATCGTTGGACTTTGACGGTATGATGGAGGATTTGAAGGTTAGTTGAAGACGGAAATCCTGTTTTAACCACCCGGTGAACATTTCTAGTTCAGTTACACTACATACCGATCTGTTTGACCATTTCTGATTTCACAATAAGTGTTTTTCTCAAGATCAGACTTTAGAAAGATTTCCAAAACACTTTGGAAAAACTCCAGGCATATCTCACAACCCCTAAATGGTAAAATGCCCAGGAATTAGTATATCCATCCTCATAAGCAAGGAAAAACCACTGCTGCTTTTGGAATCGAATTCTTTTTGGGAATTATGCAAAATCTAAAGAAACAAGGAGGAAGTATTGTGAAAAATTATTCAGGCCAACCTTAAACAGTTCTCTGTTTGTCATTGACTGACCCACCACTTTGAAGTTTTGGTCGGTAGGTAGGGACACAGTTTTTTTTCCCCCACAATAAAAGATAAATAGCTTATACTGAACACTCCAAATAAACATTTGTTTATACTCCAGCAAACCATTTTTCCATGTTCTGTTTTTGTTGTTTGTAGAACGCTCCTGAACGAGCCTGTGTCATCCTTCATGGCTGTGCACACAACCCGACTGGAGTTGATGCTACCCCTGCACAGTGGGTAGAGATCGCAGACGTCTGTCAGGTAACTATGCATAGCTGGTTTATAAGTCAAAACAATAGATATCAAATTTAATGTAACTCAGTATATTTAGCTTGCCATTCCATAATTCTAAATTAAAGATATATGCTACTACTGTATAAATATAAAAGCATTTTTGTTTTCCAATTTAAATAACTCTTGTTAGTCTAATGGAGCACTCCGAAAGGGTCTAAATGTGGGTGGAAACGAAGTATGCATGTGGCTTGAAAAATGACCCAATACCTTTTCATGTCGTATCAGTGAATCCAACCCTGACTGTAATGGTGTCAGGCATGTGATTTTGGAATTGAGAACGGTCTTAAAGTTTAGATATTTTGTGATTCTAGGGCAGAGTTGTATAAGCTGTTGAATGTTATTCTTGACTGTTTCAGGAGAGGAATCTGACCATACTCATTGATATCGCCTACCAAGGGTTTGCCACTGGCGATCTAGATAAGGATGCTTCTGCTGTGCGCTATATGCAGAGCCGTGGATTTGAAATGTTTATTGCACAGTCATTCTCAAAGAACTTTGGTCTATATAGTATGTATAGCTGTCAGTAAAACTCAAGTCAGGTATCAGCTGCTCAAAAAAAAATTAGCTCTGATTTTAGCCCACAATCAGCAGATGGGGGCTATTTCAAAACACCTGTGGTCCATTGTCTGTCCCTAAACAACAGAAAGTACTGGAGGGTCTCTCTCACATTTCATATGTAAGTTTCCCTTGGTCAAAAAATGTGTATCTTTACTTTTGAGACTGATTGGATAACAAAATGGCCCACTGGCAGCCATCTTTGATTCTGACTGTCAAGGTTTGTTATCTCTTTTTCTCAGAAAGTCCTGGAGGGATCTTTCTCAAATTATGTATGTGCTTTCCTCTTAGTCCCCTGGTAAAAATATCTCTGGCCCTAATCAGAATCCATCCCTCATTGACAGTACTTTTCAGCATTTTGCATTTAGTTATACAACTCTTATACAATAACATATAGCAAAGTGGCAAATAACTTGGGTAGAAATTTAGAGTAAAGTGAAGTTTTTAATTTTAAATCCTTTTCCTTCAGTACTTGTATGATTGGAGTTATTTTCACCAAGTTTGATCCAGAATATCATTTTGCAAGGGGACTCAATGAATTTTACCAGAGAGTTTGGCCCCCCTGGGAGCAAAGGGGAAGGGTCCAATAGGGGGAACATAGTATTAAATGTTCAAAATCCTTCTCCTTCAGTTTGTTTGGACGGATTTCAACCAAATTTTGTGTAGAGCATCCTTTGACAAATTAAAGGGGACTCAATTTTGTATAAATGGAAGGTTGCTTTTAGGGAGCAGAGGGGCAGATCCATTAGGGGTATTTGAGGTTAATGTTTAAATTCCGCCTCAAATCATTGGGTCAGGACCTAAAAAGGGACGGGTGTTGCTGAGAGACAGAGCCACTATTTGGATAAAGCTGCAGTATTATCTGTAATAAGAATAATTTTCCATGGTTGCTTTATTATCCAGGTGAGCAATACAGGCCCTCTGGGCCTCTTGTTTTTACGTATCAACCGTTAGATTTTATAGTTTTGATGCAATCATTCTTACTCTTTAGGAGCTGCATATTTTCAAGGAACAATCTTTTACAGGCAAAAATTGTTAAAATTGGATCCAACTTAAATTACAACATATATTTTGATGTTCTACATGTGATTGTTGTACTGAAATCTGTGATTGTTACGTTTCTAGATGAAAGAGTGGGTAACCTAGTAACGATCACTAAGACGAACGAAACAGTGTTGAAGGTGAGGTCCCAGATGGATCTGATCGTCCGGACAATGTGGTCAAACCCACCCAATCATGGCGCTCGTGTTGTTTGTTCTGTTCTCAACAATCCAGCATGTTATACAGAGTGGTAAGATCATGGATGAACGTTTATAACAAGTAAAAAACTTGAGGGATTTTTTTTTTTTATTTAGCTGAAGGTCATGTGTCAAATTATCATCGCCCATGTAGGAATATTGTGACCTGGTTTTTAACGCAAAACTCTTTCTCCCATGAAAGTTGTGCCCTTGAAATCAGTCAGCAGACACGGACGCAAGCATGGGCGAAGCAAATACTGTATATCCCTCTGCCCCCGCCCCTGCCCCTGCTCCTGCCCCTGCCCTAGCCCCTGCCCTGTCTTGCCCCTGCTTTATCAAAGTGGGGGTATAAAAAGAGAAAATATCAAACATATTTGTACCCATTCCAATATTATCATCCTATTAAAAATACTGGAATGAATTTCAAACTTGCACCAAAATGTTCAACTTTAGATTTGGTTGAAAAATAGAGGAGGTCCAAACAGGTAAAAATACACATTTGAAAAAGATTAGAATGTTATTTTTGTTTTGTCCACATCGCTTCAGTGTCGTACCCTTAGGAAACTCCATTTCTAATATCAGCATCCTAGTAACTGAAGTGTTAATGAGTTTTAACACTTGCACCTAATTTTCAAGACAATGCCAATGGCAGGGTGACTACATGATGGGGCCTCTGGCTACTACTCCCAATTCTTTGATTAAGTAAGTTAACAAAACGAAAGCTTTAAGTGAGTTTAATTCCGTATATATTTGAAGGTTAGTTTTAGAGAAGCTGGATACGTCTACATGTTTATAAACACAATGTTTGAGGTTGTTATTTGTATTTCATTATGTGTCTGTAGGAAGGAAGAAGTGAAGAAAATGGCGAGTCGTATTCTGACGATGCGTGACACTCTGTACCAGAAGTTAGTGTCCCTGGGGACGCCCGGTTCGTGGACACACATCACCACCCAACGCGGAATGTTTAGTTATACCGGCCTCTCAGGTAACCACCCAACCGGAACTTCTAGAAGAACACTCTCCCAAGGTCGAATGGAAATATGTAACATAGACATGTAAAGAAAGGGGGAAATATGAATTAGTTTAGTCTGTGTCTCGTTAAATAAAAACAAATCTTTAATGCAGGTTTGCCTTTTGGTGATGACTTTGCGTGTCTGACATATAAGTAAGGCAAGGCGTGTCTGACATATAAGTAAGGCAAGGCGTGTCTGACATATAAGTAAGGCAAGGCGTGTCTGACATATAAGTAAGGCAAGGCGTGTCTGACATATAAGTAAGGCAAGGCGTGTCTGACATATAAGTAAGGCAAGGCGTGTCTGACATATAAGTAAGGCAAGGCGTGTCTGACATATAAGTAAGGCAAGGCGTGTCTGACATATAAGTAAGGCAAGGCGTGTCTGACATATAAGTAAGGCAAACTTGAGCCAGCTAAGATCATGAGTGTGACACTTTTGTATTTCTATAATACTTCATGTTTTAAACAAAACAGTTTGTTTAGGCTAAAATAAACTAGATAGGTTGATTAAAAGAGGAATGTATGTTTGGAATGTGTCTTTTATGCAAAACGAATACCTGATAAAGGAGGATATAGCTTTGATTCTGAATAGAAAACTAGACCTTGCTGAACTCTCACGGAAATTAATAAAGGTGAAATTAATAATTAATAAAGGTGAAATTAATCATTAATAAAGGTGAAATTAATCATTAATAAAGGTGAAATTAATAAAGGTGAAATTAATAATCAATAAAGGTGAAATTAATAACTAATAAAGGTGAAATAAGTAAAGGTGAAATGAATAAATTATAACCATAACGGTGTTTGGAGTGTAATTCAGCGGGGCCTGACTGGGATTTGAACCCTGGACTTCAGGTTGTTATACTGTTGCTCTGTCTGACTGAGCTACCTGGTGCTGGACCAACGATGCTACAGTGTAGTTATATCAAAAAGGAAGTTAAGGGAAGGTTACTGTATATACTAAAAGCTATAGTGCAGAAGGACAGGGATTCCTTATTATAATGTGAAATCTTTAATAAGAAAAAGATTTCATACTTTATAAACCGGTTTTATTTATTTTTATATAATTTAGTTCTTATAAATGTTGATAAATTTAGTTCTTATAAATGTTGATAAATTTGGTTCTTATAAATGTTGATAAATTCCTGGGTGTGTTACAGATTAATCTTGGAGGCAATTTCCTTCCTCCGCTTTTCTGCTACTAAAAGTATTGTTTGTTCATTTTAATAGAGGCCCAGGTTGACCTGCTTCAATCCAAGTACCATATCTACATGCTGAAGTCTGGACGTATCAACATGTGTGGGTTGACATCAAGCAACATCGATTATGTAGCCGATGCCATTCATTCTGTTGTCTGTGGCGACGAAAACCAGCAACAGAAGCAAGCATCACTATAGATAACCTCAAAGTTTATCCTTAAAGACATTTACACCCTGTAACACTGTAAAGCCAGTCTTAAGTATGTGTAGTATTTGAAGGCTTAGTGAAAGTTGGTGGTGTCTTTGTTTCTACTAAACAAGACATCAAATTTGATGTAGAAGTTCACACCGAAAGTTTTTTTTTTTTTGGAAATTGACTTAGACTTTTTCATCGGTGAGTAATACACCCAGAAGTGAGTTATTGTCGGAATCCACACTGTTTACACGGTATTTTATATCACCTTATGGATTGGTACAGAATAGTGATCTCCTTATTGTTGACTAAAAAGATTTTAATTTGTATGGAATTTGTCAAATTACCTTTATTAATTTGAAGTAATATCCTTGACACAACATGTACAGTAAGTTTGTCATATTAGTAGTATTCAAATTAAGGTTCTGATGAAATTAAAAAAATTGTGTTGTTTTACGACCCTTCAGCAATTTAAGTCATTTATCAGATTTCGATAACAAGGTGCGATTATATTAATTCATATGACATTGAACTAATCATGCCTTCCCCGAATCAGTGTAAAAGAAAAAAAAAAATCTGTATCAACCAAGAACACAGAATTATTTCTTAATGTGCAGAAAAGTGCAAACTGTTTTTTATTTGTTATGTATTTGTTGGACGGTGAAATGCTGTTTATCCATGCTATTGTTTCAGAAGTGAATTTAAACCTTTTTTTTTTTTATTAATGGAGCAAATTAAAGGTGTTAGTTGTGTTCTCAATTGTGTGGGTCTGTGTACATCCATCTACCTTGTGATTGTAGTCTAATTAATGGGTCATTGACTTGGCTTTTATAATGTCTTTCATTGAAGGTAAAATCAATACCAGCATTATGTTAAATAGGCTCGGGCTCCTGTAATGTTAGGTTCATTTTGATTATTTCGGTGATATAATTCACATCCGTAACTTTTCCTTTTTGTTGTAAACAAAATAATATATTTGCTTTCTCGCAAAGTTTATTGACCTTCTCAAAAACATGTAATCGAAGCCTCCTATATATGAATTCAGGTGTCAAATTAATTAATATTATGTGACGATTCCCAGGTTGGGACGATTCATAACCAGTTTCGTTGGTAGTCTAAGGGAGATAATCACAAATTAAAAATTATGCCTGTGCAACAGGGCCAGCCAGTGTGAAGTAAGAAAAAGGAAACCTTATAGCAAAGTTTTTTGTGTTGTAAATGAAATTCAAGTGATTGCTGGTTATATCAGAAGAGAAAGCAAGCATAAAGCTTACATTATGAATTAGATATACAATTATATTTTAGTATTGATGATGTTGTATGACCAGTTATCTTTTAAATACAAAAATGGTCAGACATTTGGTTTTCTGAACGGTCGCTGTGCATGTTGATATGGCTGTTTTTTCTGAGATTTTGACTTTTGTCTTATGATCTGATGTTGATGAGTTTGTGTATTAGGTTCACCTGTTTGGTAGATCGCTTGATATCGGGCCTTATTTACAGCATTAATGTTTATTTACCTGACATGCCTTATTTACATATATAATCAGACATTGAACATCAGGGTATGAATACAGAAAGTAAGGCATTTCTAAGTTGAGATAAATTGTACCTAATCCTTCTTGTTGAATGACAAATAAAATATGTTTAAATACAGAAATCAAGGGAGAATAACTACAGAATCTTTTAAAGTTGCCTTATATCGTTTTATCTCTTTCTCTCTCTCTCTAAAAACTTAATTTATAACATGTGTTTATAAAAAAAAGTTAAAAAAAAATTAAGACTTAATCATGTTGTATAAATTGTTAAAAGATCCAATTTAGGATGGAAAGACATGACAGCGGTGGAGCTTGCTTATATGGAGGGAGTAGGTCAGTAAGATGTTTTACCGAGGCAGATATAAAATTCACCAAAGCTGAATTTCTGCATGATGACTAGTATTTGCAGACAACCCTGGATCAATTTCATTTTTTATTTGGGACCCAATAGCAAAGTAAACAAGTAAGCTGATTCTGATCACCACCTCCTTTAACCCTTTCACCCCTAGGTAACTTTAATAGACTCTACCATACATTTATATGGGGGAGTCCATTATGGTCTGCAGTGGTAAAGGGTTAAATATTGATGTTAAGGTAAATCGAGTGAGACTTGCCAATAAGTGAAGAATCATCAAAAACATGGCCTGTAATGGTTTTAATGCTAATTTTTTTAAAAAAAATGGAGAATTTTATACTTAATTTCAACAAATTTGATTCTGTAAAATAAAAAACAACTGCATTTTGTCAAAACTGTGCGTGCAGCAGTGTATACAAGTTAATTCTTGCTGGGAAATATGAATTGGCCTCTATACTACGTCTTGTGCTTTTGGCACCATACAAACTGATTCTTGCTTTGATGAGGGGCAGTTTCAGGATTAGGTATTGTATGTAAGGGGGTTATTTTCAAGTACAATTCTTTTTTTCTTTTTTTTGAAGAGTAACAGCCTTAAGTACAAGATTTGTGTATATGCCTTAAATATTACCCCCCACCAAGTCATGTTTGAAAAACATAATATTAACAGTGTGACTAAATGAGATTCCTCATTATAATAGCTTAACTCGGCAAGGATTGTATACGCTTGAAATTGTGTTCCTAATTAATCATACAATAGATGTAAACTGACTATATATTTTGTTCATATTTATGATTTCATTCATTTTCCTAGACCTGCATGTTTTGTCACAGAAGTGATTGAAAAGGTATTTTTGTTGCGATGATTATAGATGCTAAGTTCTTTATAAGGACTCAAAATTTGATGTTAGACATCGCAGATTTGATACAGGAGGAACATACAAGTATGTATGTATATATGTAGAATCATGGAATGAAATAAATTCATTGGAGAATATATTATTGTAGTTTTCTAATTTCATTATTTTATATGTAAGATCTGAAATGGGTTTCTGTCTCATGTTGAATTGATGAGCAAAAATATATATAAAAAATAATAATAAGGCTGTGGTCAATCCTTCAGACTTGTATGAAATGGAAACAAATTGAAGACCGTTTGTTTCATATTATTGATCAACGGCACAGTGGATAGCACAGGGGTTTTATACCTTAATCAAATGTGAAAAGGTATGAAAGTCACCTGTCTGAGTACTCCGGTTTCGTTCCAGACCACTTACAGGAACTTTATTAGCCTAAACGTTTTAGAGTTATGATTGTGAACATGTAATTGTCTAAATAATCCCGAAACATTGAAAAGCACTACAAAATTGGCAACATCATTGTTCTCCTTGGTAACATCATTGTTCTCTTTGGTAACATCGTTCTTCTCATTGGTAACATCATTGTTCTCCTTGGTAACATCATTGTTCTCATTGGTAACCTTATTGTTCTACTTGGTAACATCATTGTTCTCATTGGTAACATCATTGTTCTCATTGGTAACATCATTGTTCTCATTGGTAACATCATTGTTCTCCTTGGTAACATCATTGTTCTCATCGGTAACATCATTGTTCTCATTGGTAACATCATTGTTCTCCTTGGGAACATCATTGTTCTCCTTGGTAACATCATTGTTCTCATTGGTAACCTTATTGTTCTACTTGGTAACATCATTGTTCTCATCGGTAACATCATTGTTCTCATTGGTAACATCATTGTTCTCCTTGGTAACATTGTTCTCATTGGTAACCTTATTGTTCTCATTGGTAACATCATTGTTCTCATAGGTAACATTGTTCTCATTGGTAACATCATTGTTCTCATTGGTAACATCATGGTTCTCATTGGTAACATCATTGTTCTCCTAAGTAACATCATTGTTCTCATTGGTAACATCATTGTTCTCCTTGGTAACATCATTGTTTTCCTTGGTAACATCATTGTTCTCATTGGTAACATCATTGTTCTCCTTGGTAACATCATTGTTCTCCTTCATAACATCATTGTTCTCATTGGTAACATCATTGTTCTCCTTGGTAACATCATTGTTTTCCTTGGTAACATCATTGTTCTCATTGGTAACATCATTGTTCTCCTTGGTAACATCATTGTTCTCATTGGTAACATCATTGTTCTCATTGGTAACATCATGTTCTCATTGGTAACATCATGGTTCTCATTGGTAACATCATTGTTCTCATTGGTAACCTTATTGTTCTCATTGGTTACATCATTGTTCTCATAGGTAACATTGTTCTCATTGAAAACATCATTGTTCTCATTGGTAACATCATTGTTCTCATTGGTAACATCATTGTTCTCCTTGGTAACATTGTTCTCATTGGTAACATCATTGTTCTCATTGGTAACATCATTGTTCTCATTGGTAACATCATGTTCTCATTGGTAACATCATTGTTCTCATTGGTTACATCATTGGTAACATCATTGTTCTCATTGGTAACCTTATTGTTCTCATTGGTAACATCATTGTTCTTCTTGGTAACATTGTTCTCATTGAAAACATCATTGTTCTCATTGGTAACATCATTGTTCTCATTGGTAACATCATTGTTCTCAATGGTAACATCATTGTTCTCCTTGGTAACATCATGGTTCTCATTCCTAACATCATTATTCTCATAGGTAACATCATTGTTCTCTTTGGTAACATCATTGTTCTCATTGGTAGCATCATTGTTCGCATTGGTTAGGCCATTGCTCTCGATAGTGAGCACACAGCTTCTGTCCCCGCCCGCTTCTTTTAGGTCTTCAGCAACACCCCTTGGTAACATCATTGTTCGCATTGGTTAGGCCATTGCTCTCGATAGTGAGCACACAGCTTCTGTCCCCGCCCGCTTCTTTTAGGTCTTCAGCAACATCTAGGATGAACTTAAAAAGATGTCTCACTGTGATGGCATAACCTGGACGTAGTAGTATGATCACTTAACCCGTTATATTCTGATAGCTCCAAATGCAATAAGGGGACATTACAATGAGTTAGGGTTACTGGGTAAACCAGGGGACACTACAATGAGTTACGGTTACTGGGTAAACCAGGGGACACTACAATGAGTTTGGGTTACTGTGTAAATCAGGGGACACTACAATGAGTTGGGGTTACGGGGTAAACCAGGGGACACTCCAATGAGTTAGGGTTACTGTGTAAACCAGGGGCCACTACAATGAGTTGGGGTTACTGTGTAACCCAGGGGACACTCCAATGAGTTAGGGTTACTGTGCAAACCAGGGGACACGACAATAAGTTGGGGTTACTGTGTAAACCAGGGGACACTCCAGTGAGTTAGGGTTACTGTGCAAACCAGGGGACACGACAATAAGTTGGGGTTACTGTGTAAACCAGGGGCCACTACAATGAGTTGGGGTTACTGTGTAAACCAGGGGACACTACAATAAGTTAGGGTTACTGGGTAAACCAGGGGACACTACAATGAGTTGGGGTTACTGGGTAAACCAGGGGACACTACAATGAGTTTGGGTTACTGTGTAAATCAGGGGACACTACAATGAGTTGGGGTTACGGGGTAAACCAGGGGACACTCCAATGAGTTAGGGTTACTGAGTAAACCAGGGGACACTACATTGAATTGTGGTTACTGTGTAAACCAGGGGACACTACACTGAGTTGGGGTTACTGTGTAAACCAGGGGACCCTCCAATGAGTTAGGGTTACTGTGCAAACCAGGGGACACTACAATAAGTTGGGGTTACTGTGTAAACCAGGGGACACTACAATAAGTTAGGGTTACTGGGTAAACCAGGGGACACTCCAATGAGTTAGGGTTACTGTGTAAACCAGGGGCCACTACAATGAGTTGGGGTTACTGTGTAAACCAGGGGACACTACAATGAGTTGGGGTTACTGTGTAAACCAGGGGACACTACAATGAGTTAGGGTTACTGTGTAGACAAGGGGACACTACAATGAGTAGGGTTACTGTGTTAACCAGGGGACACTCCAATGAGTTAGGGTTACTGTGTAAACCAGGTGACACTACAATGAGTTGGGGTTACTGTGTAAACCAGGAGACACTACAATGAGTTAGGGTTACTGGGTAAACCAGGGGACACTACAATGAGTTGGGGTTACTGGGTATACCAGGGGACACTACAATGAGTTAGGGTTATTGGGTAAACCTGGTGACACTACAATAAGTTAGGGTTACTGTGTAAACCAGGGGACACTACAATGAGTTAGGGTAACTGTGTAGACAAGGGGACACTACAATGAGATAGGGCTACTGTGTAGACCAGGGGACACTACAATGAGCTAGAGTTACTGTGTAAACTAGGGGACACTACAATGAGTTGGGGTTTCTGGGTATACCAGGGGACACTACATTGAATTGGGGATACTTGGTAAACCAGGGGCACTACAATGAGTTGGGGTTACTGGATATACCATGGGACACTACATTGAATTCTGGTTACTTGGTAAACCAGGGGGCACTACAATGAGTAAGGGTTACTGGGTAAACTAGGGGACACTACAATGAGTTAGGGTTACTGGGTAAACCAGGGGACACTATAATGAGTTGGGGTTACTGGGTAAACCAAGTAAGGGTTACTGGGTAAACTAGGGGACACTACAATGAGTTGGGGTTACTGGGTCAACCAGGGGACACTACAATGAGTTAGGGCTACTGTGTAGACCAGGGGACACTACAATGAGCTAGGGTTACTGGGTAAACCAGGGGACACTTGTATGAGTAAGGGTTACTGGGTAAACCAGGGGACACTTGTATGAGTTAGGGTTACTGGGTAAACCAGGGGACACTACAAAGAATTGTAATTACTGTGTAAACCAGGGGACACTACAATAAGTTGGGGTTACTGTGTAAACCAGGGGACACTTGTATGAGTTAGGGTTAGTGGGTAAACCAGGGGACACTACAAAGAATTGTAATTACTGTGTAAACCAGGGGACACTACAATAAGTTGGGGTTACTGTGTAAACCAGGAGACACTACAATGAGTTAGGGTTACTGGGTAACCCAGGGGACACTACAATGAGTTAGGGTGACTGGGTAACCCAGGGGACACTACAATGAGTTAGGGTTACTGGGTAACCCAGGGGACACTACAATGAGTTAGGGTTATTGGGTAAACCAGAGGGCACTACAATGAGTTAGGGTTATTGGGTAAACCTGGTGACACTACAATAAGTTAGGGTTACTGTGTAAACCAGGGGACACTTGTATGAGTTAGGGTTACTGGGTAAACCAGAGGGCACTACAATGAGTTAGGGTTATTGGGTAAACCAGGGGGCACTACAATGAGTTAGGGGTACTGGGTAAACTAGAGGACACTACAATGAGTAGGGGTTACTGAGTAAACCAGGGGACATCTGTATGAGTTAGGGTTACTGGGTAAACCAGAGGGCACTACAATGAGTTAGGGTTATTGGGTAAACCTGGTGACACTACAATAAGTTAGGGTTACTGTGTAAACCAGGGGACACTACAATAAGTTGGGGTTACTGTGTAAACCAGGAGACACTACAATGAGTTAGGGTGACTGGGTAACCCAGGGGACACTACAATGAGTTAGGGTGACTGGGTAAACCAGGGGACACTAAGGGTTACTGGGTAAACCAGGGGACACTTGTATGAGTTAGGGTTACTGGGTAAACCAGAGGGCACTACAATGAGTTAGGGTTATTGGGTAAACCTGGTGACACTACAATAAGTTAGGGTTACTGTGTAAACCAGGGGACACTTGTATGAGTTAGGGTTAGTGGGTAAACCAGGGGACACTACAATGAGTTGCGGTTACTGGGTAAACCAGGGGAGACCTGTATGAGTTGGGGTTACTGGGTAAACCAGGGGAGACCTGTATGAGTTGGGGTTACTGGGTAAACCAGGGCACACTACAATGAGTTGGGGTTACTGGGTCAACCAGGGGACACTACAATGAGTTAGGGTGACTGGGTAAACCAGGGGGCACTACAATGAGTTAGGGTTACTGGGTAAACTAGAGGACACTACAATGAGTAAGGGTTACTGAGTAAACCAGGGGACATCTGTATGAGTTAGGGTTACTGGGTAAACCAGGGGGCACTACAATGAGTTGGTGTTACTGGGTAAACCAGGGGACACCTGTATGAGTTAGGGTTATTGGGTAAACCAGGGGGCACTACAATGAGTTGGGGTTACTGGGTAAACCAGGGGACACCTGTATGAGTTAGGGTTACTGGGTAAACCAGGGGGCACTACAATGAGTAAAGGTTACTGGGTAAACCAGTGGACACTACAATGAGTTGGGGTTACTGGGTAAACCAGGGGACACCACAATGAGTAAGGGTTACTGGGTAAACCAGGGGACACTACAAGGAGTTAGGGCTACTGAGTAAACCAGGGGACACCTGTATGAGTTAGGGTTACTGGGTAAACCAGGGGGCACTACAATGAGTAAAGGTTACTAGGTAAACCAGGGGACACTACAATGAGTAAGGGTTACTGGGTAAACCAGGGGACACTTGTATGAGTTAGGGTTAGTGGGTAAACCAGGGGACACTACAAAGAATTGTGGTTACTGTGTAAACCAGGGGACACTACAATGAGTTAGGGTTACTGGGTAAACCAGAGAAGAGGTGAGTACAGACTGTATATTGTGTTCCCTTAGCGGCGGCGTAATAAAAGCTCTACAGAGCTTTTGTTTGTTTTTGACAATGTACACGACGTTAAATAAAGATTTGGGAAATTGATGAGATTATGTAGCTAATTTTAAAAAAGTTGCTCTTTGTACATTTATACTGTTCACAATTTAGTGGGATCACAAACTCGTCACAGTACAAAATATGAAGGGGGAAAATTGAAGAATCTACATTTTTTGGGGGAAAAAGTTTCGAGTCCTGTGGGTTTTTTTAACAATTTTTAAACTTATCAGACATCACGACCTGGAATATTGGGTGATGCGATAGCATACAATCTGTATGAATTACTTCCCTTTGACCATTCTATTCACTAGTAAGTTGACCACCTTAATTTGGTGCAGAGCATATATATATACAGTGATGGGTCAAAGAAGTAATATAGACGGTAAAATCCCATATAACACTGTATAATCCCATATATACAGGAATGTGTACACTGCACATCCCTGATATATAAGTACTAATATTAATATATAAAAAAAAAATCTGTTGTCGTCAGAAAGCTACGTTATCGCAGCTACAGATTATACAAATAGAAATTGAAATATGTTTGATGAAAATGATAAATTTCATACTGCGATTTCGTAGATAAAATTCATCAATAAGAAATACTCGACTTGGGGCAAAAATATTCAACTTGTCAAAAAATATTCATGTGAGTCAATAATAATCTAGTTACAAATTGAATTCAATCTCTGTAAGTAATTTGCTAAAACTGAATTCATGGCATTAGGAGAAAGGACGCGCGGTAACAGGGTAAGGATTGCCCTGGGCCGTGTTGCCCAAACTTGGGTAGGGTTCCTCTCCCCTGCTTCCCCTCCCCTGGATTTTAAGTGCGACTCGAAGTACGTGTAATAGGAAACGTAATAGTAGTTAATGTATAACGCACTCAATGTCCCGATCAGCTGTATGACAGCAGTGTACGTGTGTGTACTTTTGATTGATGGAACGATGTCACGTAACCGTGACTTGATTAACATGTAATCTACGCGGAGTTTACTGACCCATTGAGAATTTCGGTCAGGGGTCACAGGGAGGAATGTTACGCTTGTTTCCTTATAAGGAAATTATTTACGCACGGAGTTCAGTAGGTGTCTATAAATAAACACCTAGACGCGATAC